GAGATCTGCCAAGCACCTCTTTGTGTGATGCATGCTGTCCTATTGTAAGGAAATTAATGCACTTTTGTCCTCTATTTATGCCAAGGTCCGGAGCGCGCTGCCACAGGCTGCGCAGGCGGCTCCACACAGGATCAAGCCAGGCGACTGGGTCCTGGTGAAGGAAACGAGACGAAAGCATTGGCGGTCCAAGCGCTGGCTCGGCCCATTCCTCGTCCTCCTGGTGACGGACACTGCCGTTAAGGTCGCGGAGAGGACAACTTGGATCCACGCCAACCACTGTCGTGCGGCGCTGCCACTGAGGGCCATAGACGAGGACACCGAGGGCGCGGACGGACCAGGCCCATCCGCGGCTCCCTACGCTGCAGAGGTCGGCAGGCGTGCGACCCCCGTCGGTGAAGCAGGCCAACAACAACACCCAGAGAATCCCAGCGTTGCCGAGGCAACCCCCCTTTGCCCAACTCCCCAGCCCCCGGACCCCAAAACCTGGGAACCATGAAGGCCCTGAGCGCTCTGCTCAGCTGCAGCAAGTATGCAGAGCTGCTGCTCATTCCAAAGATTTCTCCAGAGCCTGCTCCCTCTGGCCGATCTGGAGCGTGCTCAAGCTTGCCGCTCCAAGACCAAACATCGCAATGACCACTAACGCTACACACACGCTGATAGGGAGCGGTGCCAATGACTGTGTTCATTATGTTAATATTGTCTTCTCTTACCGCTGTCCGGATCCATTGTGTTATTATAACGTGCTCTTTCTTCTTTTGACAAGCATGTTTCTTTTCTTGTCCACTTTGGACAGCAATAAGTTAAGTGTTTCAAGCTTGAAGGTGATGTGATTATGATGTCTCTGTTATTTAACTGATTAATGCAAAAATGGTTTTGAATTATCAAAAGAGGGGATTGTGATGACAGTTTTCAGAGTAGTCACACATCATAACCAGCCACAGCCAATACGCGGACGTGGAGGGCCTTTCAGATGCAGAGACGCCCTTCTGACGCCATGCTGTGCTTCCTGAGGGTCCCTGCTGCCATGTCACACCCTTTTGCCTCCTCCATATTATGGCCATTGTCTTGTCTGCTCACACCCCATGCAGGACACACCATAGGGGGTGGTGCCGGCGCTTCCTGTGTGGAGCAGGCTGTGGCCCCCTCCAATCTGTTGTGGGCGGGACTGACTTTCTTGTTGCTCTGTATACACGAGACTGGGGGCTCGGCCCCCAGAGCTAGGAGATACGACCTGTTGGTATGTGTCTGCTTCTCTCCTCACGCGCGTGTGATTCCATTAAACTTACGCTTTTGATTATGACAAACATCTCTGAGCTTTTCTACTGCATTGGGGTGTAATATTCCTCCACACCCCCAACGGTTGCCAACATAACAAGCAATTAAGGATAATCCATCAAACCTATATATGTATATATTTAGTTTGAATTACTTCCACAATAAATATTCTATATATAATAATAATTACTTCAGTAATATATAATGTATATTATTTTATTGTATTTTTTTTCCAACATGAACAAATGGACACAAACATACCCAGGTCTAAATCAATTTCATAATCTTGATCTTGGTGTTTTTTGTGTTTTGATAATTTCAAAATATTAATAACTTAAATAATATGATATACAGTTAGAATAATAGTGTAATCAGTGTTTAAGACTTTGGGAACTGCTGATTTCAACAGTTGGAAAGAAATGTGAGTCTAATCGGAAATATTTCCAAGGTCTAAGCTTGTCTGCACAAATTGTAGAAATGAGACGACTCCTTCCATCTTATTTCATGTTTCATGTTTTGGATGTGTTGTTTTGCCACAGTGTTATTTAAAAAGCTTTTTGTACAGCCTTAACAACAGCAGTCGTCTCAGAGGACTTAAAAAACGTTTTTGATTTGCCAGCAACATATCAGAAAATCCAACGGTTTGAACACAGGAAATGGAATAATAAGAAAAACATAGCGGCCCATTGGTCCATGAAGTGATCGGCATGACCAATGTCCATAAGAGTAAATAAATGTGCATTACAACAAGTACGCCCCAGTGTCAAAGACATGTATACACCAAGTTCAACTCAATTTTCACAATCAATCAATATTTTTATATAGATCACATACAATCATGGATGCATTCAAACAATAAAACATTTAAAATGTATACGATGACGCTACCGTTAGCGCTTGTGCTTCACAGCAACAAGGTCCTGGGTTCGAATCCACCTCCAGACAGGGCTTTTCTGTATGGAGTTTGCATGTTAATCTTCAAATTGCAAAAAAAAAAAAATTAAGAATCCTATCTATCAGTTTACAACTGATTAATGATCAACCGTAGCTTTCTGGGTATAAAAGCCTGATGTATAGTGTCTTGTCACGTTTGTTATGTGTGCACAAAAAAGTGGCTTTCGTTTTCCAGGATTCTGTTGTCTTCTTTTATGTAGGAAATGGTATAATGGTCCAGCTGTCCCGTCAGTTAGGGCTGTCTGCAGATCGTCTTACTCTTAACATTCCCGTCTCTCTCTCAGTCTGGGCTCTCTGTCCTCTTCTGCACTTGATCTATCCCTCTTTCAGTTTTCTATCCCTGTTCCACCTTCCATATCGCTCTTGTTCTCTGTACGAGGCCTGTTATGGAAAATCAGTTTGAGTACTTTAAGTAAAAGTACAACCCAGCAAAGTTAAAGTCCATCCATCCATTTTCCATTTTCTTCCCCTTGATCCATTTCTGGGTCGGGGGGGGGGGTGGCAGTCAGAGCTGCACCCAGTACACAGAGCACCAGCCCCTCACTGATCCTCCTGCAGGTGGTGAGTCCACAGGAGCTGAGATTATTCAGCAGGGGCTTCAGGCAAAGTGGGGTTAAGGGTCTTGAATAGTTAAAGTAATATAAATAAATTCCCCCATCAGTAAAAATATAAAACTACAAACAGTCTAAGCAGAAAACCACACACTTCCTCCAGCTCGTCCGGGGGGACCCCAAGGCATTCCCAGGCCAGCTGAGAGACATAGTCCCACCGTATATAATGATGTACCCAATGTAAGTAGTTTTTCTTTGGAAGAGGGTTTTTGTCAGCAGAGTTTATGGGCTTTATATTATTTTGACTTCATGTTTTGGTAGCTATAGGACGCTAGAGGTGTTAAAACATGTTGTGACCAATTTAACAGTGGTTTTGTCTTGCTCCATCAGTCAATGGTCAAGAGGACTGTTAACATGAAAACAAAAACGTTAACGTGTGAGCAAAATGTACTTCCTTTTCAAATGTAGCTTGTGCGTTTTATATCCAGGTGCGTTTTGTTCCAGCAAGTACCATACTTAAGTATAAATGTGTAGTGTTGCCGCTTAATTGATTCTGTATTATTTCAGTTGGTTCTTTGGTTGACAGTTTCACTAAAAAAACCTCAGGATACTTGGGACTTCATAACAGAATATTAGGGTGAAAAAGAATCTTCCAATGTGTGCATACGTGGTTTCATTTGTCACAATCCACTTTAGCGTGATCAATGCTTTGAAGCCTTGCCTTGGTCCATTACATGTGTTTTAAAGTATTTATATTGGGACTAAAATGGATGGATGATCTCAATCTCTTACCCCCATTTCCTTTTTTTCCTCTTGTGGCCAGTCTGTCCTTCTCATTCTCATCCTAACCTTACCTCAGCGTTTCCTCCTCCCTCTGTCCCACACTCACTCCCTCTCTCCTGGGAGCAGCTGAGCCCCTCTGAATCGCACACACGCACACACGCACACACGCTCACACAGACACATGCACTCACGCACACACGCACAAGTACGACAAGGATTTTCTGAACTGGCCTGGAACAGATGGTTGATGAACTTGATCAGGGAATTAAAACGCCCGAGATAGAGAATGCGTCACTCACAGATGGAGGGGATTGTGGGGCAGTCTCCGGTGGTTTGGGCGCACAAGTTTCTCCTCTGTTCCTCTGTTTTTGCCACAGAAAAACGCCTCTTGTGAGTTTTGATAAATTGCCTCCAGGAGCTGCATTTTACATACTCCACACGTTCTTTGCCAAGTTATGTGTATGTGTATGTGATTACACACACCTATGGGCAAAATCACACTTAAAAATTGCAACAGTTGTTCATTTGATGTTGGGGTGACGGACAATAGACCGTCGGTCAGTGACTCCTTGATTGCTTTGGCCTCCTACATTTACTTTGCGTCTTGTATCAGTGAATATTGTACATTTTGTCTTAAATTCTAACTGTGAAGAACGGTAGAATCAACCAACTACACAATATACACGAACATTGTTTTTTTATTTATTATTATAATGTGCATTTGTGTGTTTATATGTAATATATTTTGACAATATCAATGTTTGAAAGATTGTTTTAGTCTATTTCTTTCAAATGAACAAGTCTTTAGCTGCAACATGTGAAAGAGTTGAAAAAGGTCCAGGGCAGTTCAATCGTCAGGTCCTCCTATGTTTTTAAGATTAAGAGATCCTTTTTTCATTCCACAGTGGGGAAAGTTCAGTGTTTCATTACTAGTTACAGAACAGTACACACAATACATGGTCTTTGGGACTAAAACATGCTCCCTGCTCATGGAACCCTCTGCCTACTGATAAAAAATGTACCCCCAACACGGAGCTCATTCAAAAGTAAACTAGATCCTGGGATAAATGGTTTATCTAGTTTATTTGCTTTTTATTTTTCTTCTTTAGATTCCTCTGTGTTTGTAAAATGTGATTTGTTTTGTAGTCCTTTCCACATTGGTTACTGCCATGTACAGTGTGTTATGTGCTTTATAAATTAAATTTTTGTCCTTCCGTCACTCCATTAGAAGAGTCTTACTGGGTTATACATTTTCCCCTTTTCCATTTTTTTATAGATGTGAAAAACAATATCAAGTATTGTTGTTTCCTAGGCAGCGATGTATGTGATTGTAATGAGGACCGTGGATGCAGTGACGTGATCAAACATGGCACAAGTTCCACTGTGTGTGAATGAGCTGCCAACACTCATCCTGCTCCTCACTTTCTCTTTCTGCAGCTGGAGTTCAAACCCGCCGTCCAACCGGAGGAAAAGTCCAGGCTGGACACCTCTGTCTGCCCCAGGCCTTTAGTGAGGACCAAAGCTATGACAAGAGCAGCCGCTGCCACTGCTGCACCAGGCCTGAGTCAGAGCGTGAGTCCTGGAGCACCAGGGCCCAAGTCGCTCTCTCCCACCAGCTCTGTCACAGAACCAGCACAAGCCCCACAAGCACAACCTGCTCCAGAAAAAAAATCTCAGGAGACGCAGATCTGCAAAGGTGAGCGTGGCATACTTGATGTCTCTGTATTGGTAAAACGTCTTATTAGAATATGATAATATGGTTTTTGTATCAACAATGTGTGTGATATAAAGTATTTAACTATAAGTTAAATAGGTTAATTAATTGTAGACATTTGGTAACACGGCAAATGCGCAATTAAATTAAATAATAACTTGTGTTTCTTTGATTGTAACATAATATAAATATATTTTGTAATTAGTTACACTAGATAAAAGAGTATATTAGTTACACTATTACATTTAGTATCTCATTTTACATTGCCTAAATGACACCATGAATTTTTTTGAGAAACTGAATCATTTGGTAAAGTGTTTTCCATGCTGTCAAGAACTCGCATGATGGAATAACGCTTGTGACTAGCCAATTAAGGCTTGCCCATAAGTGTGTTGTGTCTACACTTCTCTTGTTCTGTATGTGTGTGGTTTTATGTGTGCATGTACGTGTGCATGTGAGGCAGCTGCTGCTCACGTCTCCCTGTCTGTGACCACACAGATGTTTGCAGTGGAGGTAGCACTCACTTGTCACGCTCATGGAAGTACAGCATGGGCTGCTGCTGGAGAAATACTCTGATCTCAAGTGTTACTTTTTTTGTTGTTTTTTAATCTAGTCCTGTCTATTTAAATTTCCTGACAAATCCTGCCTTTAGTTTGATATTATTATGAAGCTGATTTGCACATGGTTTATTTGACACTTAATGCGAGTATAAACTTCTTGCTTTTAATCATTAACACAAGTTATATTGATAAGTTTAGTTTTTGGCCTCATCTCAAGTGGAATATGTCTGGTGTATTTGGCGCCATCCAGTGGAGGATGATGATATCGTAGCCTTTCACCAGCTGTCAGTACCAGAGCCAAAACGTTGTACAATAAAGTGATGCACCTGAGAATGTGCTGGCGCAAGGCCTCAAGATGTAAAGTAACACAGACAATAATCTTTGAAGGTACTGTCCTTGACGTTTCACATTTATTTCTTCAAGAAAGACAGGAAATATTTCTTAATTTCTTCACTTCTATTAAATGGTGACTTTCTTCAAAAAGATTTTTCTGTAACAGACAAACTGCTTTGCGATCAAAGTCTGCAGAATAAATGTATGAATGAGACAAAGACATGTGACCTTTTTTTAAACAAAAATTAAATTCAAAGGGAAAGTTGTATTGCAAAATTGACGAGGTGGAATCATGAACAATGGCAGCAAAAAAATATATAAGATTGAAACCGCTGGTGTGGTGGGAGTTTAAGTAGACTTGATGCAATGTTGAATATGTGTATTTACACAGCAAACAAAAGGGCTGTTTTTGGCATAAGCTTTTTTTGTATATAAGGAAAAGTGATTTCTACAAAGTCCACAGAATCCTCATCTCTACCTTTTCATAATCCTTTTATCCCCCAGTATGTATTTGCTGTATGCATCTACCTGTATTTGTGGTGCCAGGACAGGTGCTAGTCAGTAGTGTGAGAGACCTACACCAGGTGCGAGTGTGCTTGTGTGTGTGCGGGCCAATGGCACATACTAATTGCCTTGCTTTGTTCAGTGTGCCCCAGGGCATCTGTGGCTACAGTAGTAGTTTGTATGCAGTGATAGAATGCCACAAGAAAACATCTTTGAGTGTCCAAAGAGCCCTATATAAAGTCGCTGAATTATTATTATTATTACTACAGTATATTTGATGTAATTGAACTTGTACTTTACAACAAAAACTTGTACTTTAAAACTGTTTGTAGAGTTGGAAGAACTCAAACTGCAGGACGTGATCAACTTTAAAACTGCTCAAACTATGTTCAGGGCATCTCAAATCTCTGCCGCCTAATGTTCAAAACGTATTCCATGATAGACAGGATCATCATAGTTACAAACTTGGAGGAAACAAAATTATATATCTACCTAAATTTAGAACTACTGCATTGTAGACTGTGGTTAGATCACAGTTTGGTTTGTGGAGAAATTTTAGGAAGTGTCCAAAGAAATAAAACCATTTCCATGTCCAGCAGCTGGCAGTGTGTGTGCGTGTTTACTGAGTGAGTTGATTTCCTCTCTTCTCTCCTCACCTTCAGAGGGAAGGACACACATTCCAGCGCTGCTTCCCGACTCTAGCCCTGGGCGACGCTCAGCCAAAGCTGATAAGTGACAGGGGCCCCAGCCCCCTCCTCCTGCCCTGGGGAATCTGCCCCCTGCCCCACTTCTGCCCCCTCCTCTCCTGCCCAGACGACGAGGTCTTTAAAGAGATAGATGGCTCTTTAATTTTTTTGCGCCAGGCCAGTCAGATACCACTCCCACTGCCATTTTCTTTGTCCGGCCTGTACGTTTGCGAGAAAGATGTAAAGAACACTGTCCGAAGCAAGCCAAATTGTTTCTCTTATCAATCTACTGTAGTGATTGAATGTGTTTTGAACTTGTTGTAATTAATGTTTTCACGATGAGCATGAATGACCATTTGTGCTGACTGGGCTCGAGTTGCTGCAGCTGCTCTGGGCTTTGAGGCAGACAGCGATGTGTTAGGACAGGCTTATTAGGTTACCTGTTGGAAACTATTTCTATCTGAAAAAGTAAAGTAGGTTTTCTTGCATTTTTAAACCAATCCGTGTCCATTTGAGTTTACTTTGGACAACCTGACCCCTCCTCTCCCTCCTTCTTCTCGTCGGTCTAATAAGAATTCCACTCAGACCTGCTCTGAGGCGGTGAGCTCAGAAACTCCCTGGCTTCTGTGTGTGCGTGCCTGCACTGCTGTTTGTGTGCATCTGTGTGTTGCGGTGCGTGCCTGAATCTGTGTCAGCCTCAATTGCTGGAGCCTATCCAAGGTTTCCGTGGTGACCACACAACACAACGAGACAATCAGAGGCAAGCCCACGCAGCGCAGCGAGAGGACATTAACACAGGAACTGCAGGTCAGGGGGCAGAGGAAGGCAGGCTGGACAGAGAGGAAGAGGAAGGTGCAGCAAGGTGGTAGTACGGGAAAAGAAATGACAAACTGACAGGACACTTCAGACTTAAGCTTTTGACAATTTCAATATTTCGATGTTTGAAAAATTATGAAACAACCATGTAAAGTCTTAGATTTTCAAAATACCACTATTTTTAAGGTTGATTAAATCTTTTTGCCAGTAGAGGGAGATGTGAGCTTCTAGTCTTTGGGTTACCTGTTGCCCCTAGCTCAACTTTCTCTTTTTTTTATTCACAATCAACAATTTTTATAGTACACACACTCATCCTTGTTTATACTGCTTACCATTGCTCATTTTCTGTCATTAAAGATACAACTGGTGAGACTTAAGCCCACCACATTTCTGGAACATTAAAGATGGCTGAATGTGTGACTAAATCCAAAAGTGTGTCGTCGTGTGAGCACGTGCACAGACTTGAGCGTAATGTGAGAGTGACTCTGTTGAAATTCTGTTGGAGGAGGCGGTGTGTCTTGCACGTGTTTTCACTTTGTGTGTTTGTGCGTGCATCTGCAGGCGCTCTCACATATCTCTGTCCCTCGGGGAAGACGCTAAAAATATGTGGCTCCTGAAGCCTTCTGGTGTCTGAGCAGCGTCTGTCTGCTCTGCACTACGTCCCTGTGGCCCTCCCTCTGCTGCCTCCATTACTCCTCTTCCCTTCATCCCTCCCGCAATTACACCCCTCTCCCAAACACCCACCGACTGCACCCAGCTGTGTCCCCGCTGCACCAGGCGAGAGTGACCTCTGCACGGCCAGAGCAGGAGGACAGGAGCCAGGAAGGAGAGAACTCGGGGCTTGGTTTATTCCAGGCTTTATTCCAAATAAAGGGAGATGCACAGAATTTAAAATGTGCTAAAGCGTCGGTGAACTAGATTTAAAGTTGGCCGTCTTGCAGAGGCAGGAGGGTCTAAGGACAATGGTGATGGTCTTGGACATTTAACGACATTAAACAACCTTTATGAATATCTATTAACATATTATTATACATATGGTCAATTGGCGCTATGTGTAGATTTTATTGTTGCATTTTCCTGTATTGATTGCTTCTCTGATCTTTGTTGGCGAATGGAAAACTTAGCAAAGTCCTCAGAGATAACTACTGCTGTGATATAGGGCTATACAAAAATAAGAATTAATTGAATTGCATAAAGACTCAAAATAAGGAACTTTTGTGATAGAAATGGTGCTTTAGCAAAATGCCTTGTTTGTTTCAGAAGTGGCTCCCTCTTGCAGGACTGTACGGTCTGCATCGGAGGACGCCCTCTCTGACACTCCCTCGTGTGCCGGGCGTGGCAGGGTGGCACAGCTCATGAAAGCTTTCAGCACTGAGAACCCAGCGGGAATCCCCAAGTCGTCAGGACAGACCCCGACCAGGGGCACCAAGCCTCCTCTCCCCACCAAACCCTGCCACCTGCGCCCCGCGGCCACGCCTTCCGTGAGGTAATCTGCGGGTGGAGTTACGCTTTTACAACCTCAGAAGGGACAATGCTCTTAAGGAAAAAACAATTGATCAAATGATGCTTGAATGTATTTTTATATGTGGTCTGTACTGCTATTTTGGAAGAAAGAGTCCTAAATAAATCATGTATTTTTGGTTGTATAACTTTTAATAAATCTAAGGGGAGGTCTCTAGTTTACTTGTTTACTCTGCCCAAGTGATGAACTTATGTTTTCGTATTGGGCGGTCAGACTTGGCAGACCTCTCCTGTCGCAGTTGCTCTGAGCAGATGAATGTTAGTGGACAGTTGGGCGAGGTGAGATGAGGTACAGTGAAGCTTCTCAGGCTGCTGTCTCCTCCCTGGAATAAAGTCGAGTTGTTTATTTGTCACAATGCGATGTGTTTCGTGCCACCTGGCAGTGGCCTTCTGCGACCTGTTGTGGACCAATGATGGTGCCAAACGTCTCATCTGTCACTCCCAGTGGATCAAATCCTGGTGAGGTGTAAATGCTGCCAAAACCTGGAGACATCTCCTCACTCTTAACTTGTTACAATTTTAGCTGATGTTGTAGTTTTTTATGTTTTAGGAACACACTTGTTTTGTAATGGGATATTTATCACTACCGCAAAGCCTCATCTGAGACGATGCCTGTATTGTGACGAGCTTGTATGGTGCAATCCAACAACAATAAAGTTATGTGATGTCACCACCTCAGTACATGGTATTTATTTACTTACATTTTGATAATCGTAATATTAAAATGTTAAACTAGCTATATAAACAACATGCTTTTAACAAGAATCACCTGGTTTTCAGAGGTAATACTTGTATTATTTAATATTCATGTATTTATCTAGAACTACATATTACTGGTAATTCACAAAGAGATCACCTGTCTGTCATCCAACATAACGCGCTGAGTTACGTTGCTCATAATTTCAACAAGTGAGATCTAAATCCCCGTCTGGATGGAGGATTTTTATTTTTTTTCGCGCTCAGTGTTGTTTTTATATTTTTATTTGGAATTAGATACTAACTCAGTAAAACACATATTCTGACCAATGACTTTTTCCAGTTTATCACATTTATAGCAAACTGTATACTTTACATGCAAGTGTTGAATTCCTTCAATTGTAAACCACCTTGGTTCTCTGGGCTCCTCGGTTCAGTCGAGCGTCAGAAATCTTGGTGTTTGGTTTGACCAGTCTCTGTCTCTTGACCGCCACTCGAGACACTTGGCCAAAAACTGTTTTTTCCATTTGAGAAACATTGCCAAGTTGAGGCTAATTTTATCCAAATCTGATCTAGAATTGGTGATTCATGCTTTTATCTCGTCTCGTTTAGATTATTGTAACTCCCTTTTTACTTGTTTTAACAAATCTGCTTTGAATCGTCTTCAAATGGTTCAAAATGCTGCTGCGCGGCTTTTAACAGGCTCTAGCAGACGGTCACACATTACTCCTATTTTATCCTCTCTGCACTGGCTTCCCATCAAATTTCGAATTGATTTCAAAATTTTAGTATTGACTTTTAGAGCGCTGAATGGTCAGGCTCCCAAATACGTGTCTGACCTGCTGTGCCCTTACTCCTCCGGTCGCAACCTTAGGTCTTTGGGTCAGAACCTCCTTGCTGTCCCAAGGACCCACTTTAAAACCAGAGGTGACCTGTCCTTTGAAGTTGTTGCTCCTAAACTGTGGAATGCCCTTCCTCTGTCGCTACGTGTGACCGACACTGTCGATTCCTTTAAAAAACAGCTGAAGACATGGCTGTTTGGACGAGCTTTTAGTTGAAAAGGCTGTGATTGTTTTAATTAATTTGTTTTAAGATTGCTCTGTAACTTTTATTGTTGTGCCCCTGTGAAGCACTTTGTGATTTTATCTGTGAAAGGTGCTATATAAATAAAGTTTCTTCTTCTTCTTCTTCTTCTCACACATTGTAGTTTGAGGCTTACACGTACAGTGCCTTGCAAAAGTATTCGTCCCCCTTGAACCTTTCAACATTTCGCCACATTTCAGGCTTCAAACAAAGATATAAAATTTAATTTTTTGTCATGAATCAACAAGTGGGACACAATCGTGAAGTGGAACGAAATTTATAGGATAATTTAAACTTTTTTAACATATAAAAAACTGAAAAGTGGGGCGTGCAATATTATTCTGCCCCTTTATTTTCAGTGCTGCAAACTCAGTCCAGAAGTTCAGTGAGGATCTTTGAATGATCCAATGTTGTCCTAAATGACTGATGATGATAAATAGAATGCACCTGTGTGTAATCAAGTCTCCATATAAATGCACCTGCTCTTTGATAGTCTCAGGGTTCTGTTTAAAGCGCAGAGAGAACCATGAAGACAAAGGAACACACCAGGCAGGTCCGAGATACTGTTGTAGAGAAGTTTAAAGCCGGATTTGGATACAAAAAGATTTCCCAAGCTTTAAACATCTCAAGGAGCACTGTGCAAGCAATTATATTGAAATGGAAGGAGTATCAGACCACTGCAAATCTACCAAGACCTGGCCGTCCCTCCAAACTTTCATCTCAAACAAGGAGAAGACTGATCAGAGATGCAGCCAAGAGGCCCATGATCACTCTGGATGAACTGCAGATAACTACAGCTGAGGTGGGAGAGTCTGTCCATAGGACAACAATCAGTCGTGCACTGCACAAATCTGGCCTTTATGGAAGAGTGGCAACAAGAAACCATTTCTCAACGATATCCATAAAAAGTCTCATTTAAAGTTTGCCACAACCCACCTGGGAGACACACCAAACATGTGGAAGAAGGTCTTGTCAGATTAAACCAAAATCAATATGTTTGGCATAAAAGCAACACAGCTCATCACCCTGAACACACCATCCCCACTGTCAAACATGGTGGTGGCAGCATCATGGTTTGGGCCTGCTTTTCTTCAGCAGGGACAGGGAAGATGGCTAAAATTGATGGGAAGATGGATGGAGCTAAATACAGGACCATTCTGGAAGAAAACCTGTTGGAGTCTGCAAAAGACCTGAGACTGGGACGGAGATTTATCTTCCAACAGGACAATGATCCAAAACATAAAGCCAAATCTACGATGGAATGGTTCACAAATAGACGTATCCAGGAGTTAGAATGGCCAAGTCAAAGTCCAGACCTGAATCCAATCGAGAATCTATGGAAAGAGCTGAAGACTGCTGTTCACAAACGCTCTCCATCCAACCTCACTGAGCTCGAGCTGTTTTGCAAGGAAGAATGGGCAAGAATTCCAGTCTCTCGATGTGCAAAACTGATAGACATACCCCAAGCGACTTGCAGCTGTAATTGTGGCGCAAAAGGTGGCGCTACAAAGTATTAGCGCAAGGGGGCCGAATAATATTGCACGCCCCACTTTTCAGTTTATTTGTTAAAAAAGTTTAAATTATCCAATAAATTTCGTTCCACTTCACGATTGTGTCCCACTTGTTGATTCTTGACAAAAAAAAATATTTTTATATCTTTATAAAATATACTTTCGAATACGAACACTTTCGCAAGGCACTGTATGTATGTATTTACACTGGTTTCGAGAGCGGGCCTGGTGTAAATACACATTGTACACATTGATGTCCTGACTCCAAAACTGCTGGAGCAGGTCTTTGATGCATGTGGACATTATGAAGCAGTTTCAGGAGAATGGTGCCGCCATCCTACACACAACCCAACCACACTATACGGTTTACCAGGATGGACCGGTCCGTCACTGCAAGACAATAAAAAAGGCTTGTTATTTTTTGGCTGTTAGTGGCCACTGGTTTCCTCATTTCACCTTACTTTAACATTCAAACCACACAAAAAGGGGACGTGACTATAAAACTCCAGTTTCCAGGGAAGGAAAGAAGGCTCCGTTTGGCTCTTTGGCGTTCCACCACACAGCGATAACCCCGTCCACTGCACCCCCAGTGGAGCGGGATAGAGACGAGGGGAGCGGAGGGGGGCGGGCCATGTGATACGCGGAGCATGCGGGCACAGCTTCACCCCCAGGCAGAACGAACGGGGGCCTGCTGTGTCTCTCCTGCATGATTAATCTGGCTGAGGGGCAGAGCACTGCCACAGTCCTGGCTGCATTAACTCCCTACTCCCCAGTTCCAGACCAGGCACTCACGCCAGCAGCACTGGGACACACGCATATGCTTTGGTCTAAAAACCTATCAATTTGGCCTTTTCTGCCGGTTTGTTTTTCTAAAAATCCTACTTATTTATTTAAATTATTACTTTTCCAATATTTCATGATTTATTTTTTATTTTTATCCCTAACATTCTATTTCACGTAGTAACCGTTTAAATGAAGAGCTCTGCAGAATCTGGGGCAGTTTAAAGCTGAACTATTACTGTACTACGTTTGATTATGATTACAGTGCAGAACCAATCCTTTAAACTATTATATTATGTGGTGTGACCTCATTCAACCTATACATTCTTGGCCACCGGGGCTTGCCATGGTCTTTGACGGAACCCTTCAGATTTATTTTTCAAGTCTTGAGTGTTTGGCATATGATGGTCAAATGTTCAAACCACGATGACAGCTTCTCAAAATGTCTTGGCTGCTCTGTCACAGTGTTTTGCAGTTTTCGGCTCTTCTCAACGCCAGGTTTAACATAAACTTTATGGCTGAGTCTACCACATTGTCTGACCATGGCTGGGTCCCATCGACTCCGAAGTATAGAAAGACACGTGAAGCATCAAAGAGGCAGGCAGAGGGTTAATATCCTGCAGTCCTCCCCACATTAACTGGAAAGGAATGAAGTGTCAAGCGTGTTTTCAACACAGCCAAACGGTCTAACCCCCCCCTTCCACATCTTCCTCCCAACAACTAGTCACCCCTTCTCCGCCGCATCGCTCCCAACCACCTCCCATAACCGTGACCAAATTATTTTCCAAGCCTCCTGAGGTTTGTGCCATGCTGGAAGAAAAAAAGCATTGCCATGGCCCTGATTTGGTTCGTGCATCTATTGACGCTTTTCCCCCGCCACCAACAAAATGGCTTTCCTCTCACTACCTGGGTGTGCACTGACATTTGTAGGACAGATGGACATGACACCAGCTAAATGTGTGGTTGCAAATACCGTTGTCCTCCTCTTCCAATTACAGAATCTGGTTGCTCTCATTGTTTACTAATATCAAGTTATACATCTCCCCATAAACCATGCCTTTGTGGTTGAATTAGATTACTGGACTAAATAGTTTTCTTTAGTTTGCATCAACAGCGTTCCCTGCGTTTGGACGACAGTTGCTCTGGTAGCTTTCAACGGCATGGTCTTGACAAAGAGTCATGACATGTGAAAGTAAATGTTTGTTGTTGGTTTGGGTATGTCTGTGGTAACTTTGGGAGAAATAGCTAAGGCAACCGAACTTTATTCATACAAGAATCAACAAAGCAGATTTTTTTTCATGGTCGACGGGTCCATACTTTGAACCCGTCGACTTTACAGAAGCGGTACTCATTGTAAGTATGTAATGAAATCTATCTTACTGTTTTGAGAGTTCCTCATTCTCAAAGCAGATTGATTCTAGCATATAAAATATTTGGTCTCTGTCACATCTAATTTTTCAGACTGAAAAAGTGACAGGACCACCCCCACTCGGCAAGTGACTCAGACGTTCTACATTAATGGAAAATATGAAGTTATGATGTTTATGAATATTAAGTTTTCTAATAAGACTGGTTACTTTTACAAGGCACTCTCTGTTGGGTCAAATGGCATGTAGTAATTATTTTAAAATAAACTTGGGTATCCCAGCTTTAATGTTTAATTGCAAAAAGAAGAGAGTTAGAAGTTGACGACGAGCTATCCAAAAACCAGAACCCAGTGTGCACTTTGGCCCATATGGGAACATTAGTGACCCAGAAGGCTTGGCGTTGGACGTGTTCGAAGTATGGACAAAAATGATCCGTCCCAGCGATCTGGCCACTCCGTCCTGCCAAACTGTTCTGGGGGAAAAGGAAAAAAAAAATCCCCCTCTGTTTTATTTATAGTGCGCCGTATCCATGGCAACGTAAGAGGTCAGGCAAGCTGGTCCCGTTCTTCACCCTGCTTGGGGATTAGGATTTCACAGAGGTTCTCAGATGTGGAAGGTGGGCTAAAGCTGCTGGAGACCCCTCTGCCAGCGCTCCTCAGCCAAAGCAGGGGCCCTGGCTGCTGAGAGAGTCTTGGGAATTGTTTGGGAACATTGTAAGGCCCAGTGGTGGTGCAAAAGAGGAGAGTATGTACACACAAAGACAGACTTTTAGGCCAGCTCTGTGGACTATTCAGCTGTAAGGTCATACAAGGTCACACAAAACTTCACTCTTTTAAAATCTACGTTTTTGATATCCGTCGTTTAGTATTCTGTTCCATTTGTAAAGAAAAGAGTGTCGCTCACTTTTTAACATTTCCTAAGCTTGTTAAATTTCCATCCCCCAGTTCTCTGTAGGGGCGACTCCTTCCAGAGAGCGTATTTCTAAGCCAGTTGGAATGAAGGGAAGCGAGGTAAGTGCGGAGATGGGGTGGGGGAAAGCTGATTGCCCTCCAGGAAGCGCATGGTGTGACTGTACAACGGAGACCTCCACTTTCCTCCTGGGGCAGAGGACGGGCGTTGCTAGGAGATGGTGTTGCCACGGCGGATGCTGTTGCTGCCTCCATCGATGTGCAAAAGGACGTGGTTTCAATCTGAGGAGGAAAAGAGGGGGACAATTTGGAGCGTTTAGGGACAAGTAACGAGCTCCATGGTCTCTAGGGGGCACTCTTGACACCTGAGTCCAGGAGACAATAGGTGCTCCTGGTCCTCAATGGGATCAACTGGGACCAATAGTTGCCATTGGGGGTAGTGATTTGATAACTTTATTTCACAGTATAGCAAATGCTTCCAATGTTTGAAGTGTAAAGAATACTGCTCTGTAGTGCTTAAAGCTGAGGTACCTTTCATTGTGTTTGTCAAGATTTTCTATTGAGACAAACGTCCACATTTATGAACACGTCAGACCACAACATTATCTAAAGCAGTGTTCTCCAACAATCACATGGCACACCAGCAGCTGAAACACAAACATGTAACTCTGCAGCCTTTATTAACAAATTAAAGTCATTCTCATCTAAGTGTATTATTTAGAAAATCAAAGAAGTATTGTATATCTTCTATTTATTTCACATAATTCTGACCAAGTAGGTGATAGTGAATAATTTTCCAAGGCACACTAACATGCCATGGCACACTGGTTGAAAAACACTGAACAGAAACCTAAAGAACAGAGACCTTTGAATCACAATTTGATGCTTTGGGCTGTGAGCTGATTGAGGGTGTGTGTCTCAAAAAGCTGACCTAAAGATGTGGGTTAGTAGTTGGGCAGGGACTGGCTCGTTTTGCGGAGGGCAGGGCCAACCATTGCTCCCTTTTCTCATGTATCTTTGTTTTGTTAATTTTAGACACCCCACTTTTATTTGAGAAATATATCAGAAGTAGTGGCTTTGACTACTGTTTATGTGAGTGAGTCTGCAAGAGGCAAAATCTCTGTTTACAACTGTGTTTGGGACTCTTGGCGCTTGGATTGATAATTCACTTCTCACAACATGTCTCGCTTATGTAATTACCTCCATTAGCTGTTTGTCTAACCGGCTGCATAATCTGCTAGTATGATCGGGCGGCCCCTGCCAGGGTTGTTTAATGTATCCATTAAGAATACTATAATATTATATCCATTGTTTAGTAATGTTGTTCCAATTATTTAGAAGTAATTACCATTTTTTTGTCACTCTTTCTAAAGCTAATATGAAATCTATATGAAAGAGTGCCAGGATCTCTACCCCACTAACAAATCTGTCTGACACAGTTTAGCGATTTGAAATCAGTGATTTGATGTAAGCGTTCCCACACATACCTGCATGCTTTAACCACAGAGGAGATAATGCTGCTGCAGAGAGGCACTGATAAGGCCTCCACTCACTCCAACACAAAGGTCCAAACTGAAAGCCTCTGTGTGCTTTTTCTGCACATTTTTTTTCTCTTAAATGATTGAACTATAGATGTCACATTGTGGAACATTCCATCTCCATGTTTTCTGCAGCCAGCTTACAATTGTGAACAGAATGTGTTAATTTTAAACAGTTTGCCACAATCCAGAATTATTTCTAATTTTCTCATATAAATACGAATTTCTCAAACAGAGACTGTCTGTCATGGTAAAATAACAAGAGCTAGCTCAGCAGCACATTTCACTGAAAATTAAACGTATCTAAAAGTCAAACTATTACATGCATTATAGATTTTACGTGGTTAATCTTTCAGAATGGCAACAATTCTAATCCCTATAATCATTTGTTGTTTATATTATGTGGAGTTACGACCAAGCTGAGCAGGAACCAGGTATAACAGGCGGACACGCTGGGTTAGGTTTAGGAATAGGGTTAGCACTTCCAGGTCATAGATATTTTCACGTGTTTCTGGCTCTTTAGGGCCAGCTTGGACTTTGAGAGTGTGAAAACATGCAAACGGAGTCTGAGTGAGCACGTAGCACGTCAGGGTATTGGGATCATCTTGTTTATGCATTTTACTCTTTAGAATCTTGGTGGTCCCTGTTTGGTTCTGGTACCAGCCCATCAACACAAGGCCTTCAGATCGTCTGGGACGAGGAAGATGAGGTTTGGGCGAAGGCGGATGGTGTGGGAGGGTTAAGCACAAACCACCAGCTGCGCTTTCCCTCTTTTTGCGCGTTCATTAAACATCTCCCAGTCCTCGGGGTAATCCACACGCTTCACTGTGGAGAGGGAGACAAACATTCACGTCTGTCCATTCACCGCTTGGCCTTTTGGCTTTTGATATCTTTGCAATAAAAAAGTCAAAAATGAAATCAGCACAACTTCTCATAAATTGTCATGGGCAATAATATTTTCTTTTTGGTTTTATATGATTAACTAATAGATTTTGCATTTTATTCATGGACTATAAATTCATGTAGTTCTACTTAAACTTTCAAACATATAGCCCTAACACTAAGAGCTACAACTGTGTGACATAAACTGTGGCTAGTTAAAGAAGAGGGGATAGTGATGACCTCATAGTCTGCCTAACAGGGGTCTCCAACATTTTTTACGATTTTTTTAGGCAAAAAATGGTCAAGACCAACCCACTAAATGGTGTATAGGACTCAGATGGGATACTGTTAGATACCCAAGAATCCATTTGAATTGGATACTTCAAATTGAAAATGCTCGGGATGATCTCGATATGTAGATTCTATACTGTAGTATTGTTAAAACCACTACCATCACCTTACAACAGTTTGTCTGTGTTAGTCTTGTCTTCACAATGCAAATGTCCATTTCACCAAACCCACTGTTGCCCACTTCCTCCTCTCCTCTCGCAGTCTCTCTGATGTGCCGTGGCCAGCGTGGAGCTCTCCATTTGTGCGTATTTATGTGTGTACCTGCGTGTGTCTGCCTCTCCATGTTTCCAGCCCATAAGCCCGGAGCCAAGCTGAGCACTGCCAGAGGGAGAGCCTGCAATGTAGGGCGCCCAGCGAGATGGACGCGGGCAGAATATCAACACACACACACACACACACACACACACACAGACACACACCCTCTGCTCTGAGCTGCCCACCTGCCGACTTACGTGATCCAAATGTGAGGACGCGGAACAGGAGGGGGATTGGAGGTGGGGGGTAGTCTGCAGGAAATTGCCAGGTAGTTTCCAGACCCACTTCCCCATGTTGCGCCCAATTAATCAGGGCTACATCTGTGTTGGATGGACCTCTACCCCAAGGGGAAGCAGCAGTGTTTTTGTCTTCACGCGCAGGTTTTTTGGAGAAGTCTGTTTTTGTGGTGTGACAGAGATTGCATGGCGGATGTTGTTGATGAGGGCTGTAATTTCATATGGACAGCTTTCCGTAGCTCACTGTCCTTCAGCGTGTTGTTGTGTTTTTATTTTTCTTCCCAAACACACATGCTTCCTGCCTGTGTCTCATTTTTCAGCACCTGCGTATAGCCCGCTGCCTCTGCTCTGCGTACTTCCTGGAGCTGGTGGCACACCTGGAGCCCCCCACTCTCCTCCCCCACTCCGTGTCGTTTTTTCCCTTCGCCACTGTTTTGGCTGCGCCTGTCTCTGGTCCCATTCCAGGTTTATTTATGAATAACAGATTCAGTTATGAATAATATGGCTCCAGTAAGTGTGGAGTTTCCACTGTGGGCCGAGCTTCATTTTTCTTCAGCGTTGAGAGGTGCTAGGTTCCTACTTACGTCTTTATTATTAACCTGTGAATATTAGTTAAAAGGCACAAAAAAGGATGCATTGTTAAACTTTGAATTTTACAGAGTGGATAGTAACTAATTAGAAATACTCAGTGCACTGTAATTAATGGATTTTTAAGAAGTTAACTTTTTTTTTATTATACTTTTATTTGAGTTTATTTTCAGCCATGAATGTATGAATACTGAGAACACATGGCCCAGCGGTCCCAAATCCTGTCTGTTTCTAAAACCTCAAACTCACTCTAAAACAAGCTCGTTTTTAGAGCTTTTACTCTCCCACAGTTATTGAGCAGATATAGGGTTTCTGTTATAACTTCACTCACTGCCTCTGAGTGGACATATTATGCAAATTTACTTTTGACCATGTACATTCATCAAACAGACCTGCAATTGTTTTTAGATCCATTCATGCTAAAATCAAGAACGTGACAGAATGTTGCCAGCAAACTTGTAACTCCGCCCCTACTGTCTAAAAGCTCCTGCAGTCCTGTAATTGTATGATGCCATTGTACCACTATGACATCACACTCACTCACTTTTGAAAATAATAGATATATATTTTTTTTCCCAGATGAAATTATACTATATAACAGTATAGTATAGTATAATATATTTGTAATCAAATGGCTGTGTTTGCAGCTGGTAAGTTTCAAATTTGTGTTTATATAACTCCCTGTGCTGCTGGTAGCATAGGGAGTTATGTAAACATATATGTTATTGAAAACAGACTTCTAACCTTAAAGAAGAAATATTATATTTTTTTCAGTCGTTATCACCAACCAGACGGTCTTATGTTATGTTATACACAATTTCTTGAGAAAATACACAATGTTTATTTCTCAACAACCACATTTCTGTTGTTCTAAAACTACACTCAAAGCACAATTATTCATAATAAAAAGGTAAATCATTGTCCAATACCATCATTTGGTTTAATCCAAACTAACTACTTTAAAATTTAAACATGATAGTTACATTTATGCAACATCACAACATTCAAAAGAGCCACTAGTTTTATAATGTGGTGGAGAGCAGCTGAAACATATTTTATGGTAACTGGAAAAAGTCCGACTTATAGTCTTGCAGGTACTTTCAATGTAATTCCAGGAATAATCACAATGAAATAAAAAATAGTCACAAAGTTCCACATGTTTTTGTCAGTTAAACTATAGTACTGATATGTACTATCTTTTCAAAAAGATGTCAAGAAATGATGTTGCAGTAGTATTTGCGAATTGAATTATTATGAATGAATGACATTTTTTTTTATTTTTGGTCAGTTGTTTGATCAATAACACATTACATTCACTGACTATATTACAACCAAAAATAGGATTGGGCTGAAGCAACTTGCTTGTATAAGCCCAACCTGACATCATGACACATACAGGTCATTAGCTACTACACAGCAACTATATAAACAAACAAACAAAAAAGTACACATTACTGATTTAAAAGATAAATTACACATTTGGTTGAACAATGTATTTTTATTTTTTTCACTTATTTCTTTTTGTTATATCTTTATTATTATTATTATTACTTCTAAGACAAGATATATGACTTAATTATTTCACATTTTAAGGTAGTTTTAAATAATGATAATGTATTAATTAACTTAAGCTGGTCATTAAGATTATTCCACATTTTTACTCCAATGACAGACACACATCTATTTTTAACGTTAGTTCTGGATTTTCTTGTTTCCAACTGAAGAAAACCTCTCAGATTATAGAAACTTTTTCTTATTTTGAAGAAAGACTGAATACCTACAGGAATCTCTTTGGTTTTTACAACTCTGAATAAGATTTCTAAAATTTTTAACTTAACTATGTCCGTAAATTTTAGCATGTTATGTTCTATAAAAAGTTGGTTAGTAGAGTCACGATAACCCACTTTATTTATTAAACGTACTGCCCTTTATTGTACTTTAATTATAGGATCTATATGTGTTTTATTGTGGTTGATATTTTACTCTTGACATATTGTATATGTGGTTTCCAGCTGATCTGGTGATCAATAATCACCCCTAAAAATCTAATCTGATTGACTCGCTCTAATTTCAATCCCATTCCAGTACAATCTTATATTAGAATGAGCTCTACAGGGTCCAAAAATCATGAATTTTGTTTTATTCTCATTTAATGATAACTTGTTTAAGTCAAACCATTTTTTAACTAAAGTCAACTCGGTTTCAACCTGTTCAATCAACTTATTCATGTCATACCCTGAGCAAAACAAATTAGTATCATCAGCAAAAATCACTAACTTCAGTATTTTTGATACTTTGCAGATGTCATTAAAATAAAGAATAAATAAAATAAATTATCAAATACTGATCTGGGAAACATTTGGACGTTTTCATTTAAAAAAAATGTTTTTCCCCAAAGAGTTCTGCCTTCTTCTGCATCTGCCTTCCAACTGAAATAGAATTCTAGAACATGAACACAGACTCCAAACGCATCAGACTTTTTTTTATGAATGACTCTAGCCTCTACTCCTGGTCGGACCTGTTTGTGTAAATTTGGTTTAATGAGTGAAGTGTAGCCTGGGTGTGAATATAGTGGTCTTGTGTGAAACCTTGGCAGCGCATGGTGCAGTGCAGAGTGGAGAGGAGAGACAGCTGCCCTGACAGATGCCGGGAGGCAAGACCCCACTGGGAGGCAGAGGGAGGGAGCTGGCAGCGGCCCGGCCCAGCGGAAGCACCACGGGCTGCAGAGGAAGTGGGCAAGGGGACAAACCAGGGGCTGCACGAGACAGCGAGGACATGGGGAGGAGAGGGGATATGTGATCTAGTTTTTGAATGTTAATAAATAGCCTAAATGTGTCTATGCAAGCTTTATACTTTGCTAGTGTGCAGAGATTCTGTTCTTTTGGCATCATCATGTGACTATTGATACTACTGATGGCTGTCTCAGAGTGTATTATAAGCCTGTGCTTGTGCGGTAGTGGTGATTGTGCTTCAGGAAAAGTGTGTGCGATGCTGGAGGCCTAGTGCTGGAGGCCTGTGTCTCGAGACCAGTGCAGCACTGGGTCCAAACTGAGTTGCCATGGTGACCCATAGCCTTGGATCCTCACTGATTCTGTAGAAGCTCTCACAGTCTGGTCACCGCTCCCTCCCCTGTCACATCTCTCAAACAGAGTCATACCATCAGGTAGATATTGGGACGAGGTCATTGGTCATTGAGAACAAAGACAAACTTGTGTCCTCTTATATTTACATCAGTGTGAACTATTTTTTTTCAGGCCCTCCCTTTTGTTCCATCGCTACTCCAAAAACATTCTTCAAAAAACTTTTCACTATATCTTGATATTCTAAACTTTTGTTTTAGCAAAAAGGCAGAAAAGAGCATGACATTTTTGATTCTTCTTCCATTTGGCTATTTCCCTGGAGCCTTACCGTGACTTTAGTTGAAACTCCCCATAGACAGAATGACAGAAGAGTCCAGTGGGACCAGCTCTTCAGTGACTGTGTCCAAGTGTCCAAGTGTCTGCTGCAGTCATCGGGCTGTGACAGAAGCAGACAACTGCCGGTTATGAGGAGTTTGCAATATTACACACAGTCTGTCTGTGCAGGTAAAGACATACTAGGAAACTAAGCGTTGCTGCTTGAAATGATATTTTACTACTACCAAACTTCTCTGGTGGAGGGTCCACTGTTTGCATGATTCCGTCTGAATATTATTTTGTGTGAAATGTTCTAATCTACGGTATGGCATTAAACCTTGCCATCTTCATTGGAGTGACGAGTAAGTTATATCTTTTTCAGCCGCAGCACCACACCTGTGGAACGCTTTGACCCAAGACCTGCCGGCGCCACAGTCTGTGGAGTGCTGCAAAAAGCACCTGAAAACAGAGCTATTCAGAAAGTCCTACTGCTGATCTGCAGCCCATGTTGATTTTTTAATGCATTTTAATATTTGTCTGTATGTGTTTTTATTCTGATGTTTTGCCTTTGTTTAAACTTGCTGTAGCACCTAGAGATGTGCTTTGCATATTTAAGGTGCGTTATAAATAAAATCTGTTATTTTTATTATTATTATTTTATCTAGATATAGAAGAGAGCAGACTCAATGTAAGAATGCAAGTTTTTGAGTTTTAAAAACAGCTGTAATTAAATATTGTAGTTTTATATCATCCATCAATCAATCAATCTTAATTTGTAGAGCGCCTTTCATTCATAGGGCAACACAAAAGGCTTCACAGTCCACACCACAAAAGGCACAAATCAGTCAAACAAACATCACCATTAAAAACAGCATAAAAAACAGGTTACAAAAACATAATATGTTATAATGTCTGGTGCATGTGAATTTTTTGTATATATATATATTGATGAGGAAGAGAGCCCATCATGGGAGGACAAGCCCCTATACGGCATGTACCACCGGAGCATAACAGAAGTGGCTGATCTCAAGAAGTCCTACCAATGGCTAGAAAGGGCTGGCCTACAGGACAGCACAGAGGCACTCATCATGGCTGCACAGTAGCAGGCCCTGAGCACCAGAGCGATAGAGGCCCAGATATACCACACCAGACAAGACCCAAGGTGTCGGTTGTGCAAACAGGCACCTGAGACGATCCAACACATAACTGCAGGGTGCAAGATGCTTGCAGGGAAGGCCTACATGGAACGCCATTACCAAGTGGCTGGCATAGTGTACAGAAACATCTGTGCAGAGTATGGGCTGGAAACCCCAAGGTCTAAGTGGGAAACTCCTCCAAAGGTGGTGGAAAATGAGCGTGCGAAGATCCTGTGGGACTTCCAGATACAGACCGACCGAATGGTAATGGCGAACCAACCTGACATCGTGGTGGTAGACAAAGGGCAGAGGACAGTTGTGGTGGTGGACGTGGCAATTCC